TACAAAGAAAACGGAATAGATTGAATTCATTAACATGGCTAAAAACACGACAGATGACGATGGGGGTCAAGCCTGTTCTCCTGAGGTTAAGCTTGTATTATTCAAAAGTCTCCGTGAAAGTGAATGCCTTTATATAAAAATTTAAAATGCATCAACAAAATGACAAATTGAACTGAAACTCAAAACAAAAAGGCTAAGTTTTCAAATTGGAGACTTCGATAAATTACTCTTCATTTATAACCCCAGTAGTCTTCTTCGTAAGAACACAGCTGCCTTTGAGATGAAGAACATGGGGTGAGGGGCGGAACCCGCGGAAGCCCTCCGCCGGGCTGCGCCGGGCTCCTGCCGCCACTGCGCACGGCCGAGAGGGGCTTGGGGACGTTTGCTTTCAGACTTCCCAGGCTCCAGTTCATCTGCCTTTGCCTTTCTATCATGGTCATTTTCTGCTGACCATTTACAACTGCATTTTGTTTCCTATTTTGTTTTTCTTTTTTAAACTTAAAAAAAACCCCAATTCTGGCTCCTCTCTGGGTGCTCTGCTGGCCAGAGCTGGGCAGAGGTGAGGTGTTTTCTCTTCCTGCACATGTGCTCAGCCCGCTCCTCAACTCTTCTGAATGGGTGTTGCCAGCTCAGGGGCAGAGGTGCCGCCTGCGCTCGGCAGCAGGGCCGAGTGCTGCCAGGGACCTGCCACGGGGATGGACTCAAACCCACCGTAATGCCGTGATTTGGCTAAGGCTTCTTTGAGAGAAATACTATGAAGGGTGGTCTGAACTATAATCCAGAGTTCATTCATTCTTCAAGGTATTACCAAAGTCACCCTTGGATTGAACACGACTGCCAGCAAGATACATCTGGACACTACTTGGTTTTATATCCCTGTGATCAGAATTGCTTTAAGCAGGATAAGGATAGCCATTGATATTAAGAATTTTAAATGCGCTTAAATGTGACTCTGTCGATCTTCCCAGTGACCTCAATAGGCATGTGAAATACACGTTTCTACCTTGCGGACGAGGAAATGGAGGCTGAGTACCTTGCCCGAGGGGCCAGTGGCACAGCCAGGATGTGAACGCAGGCTCCTCACCACGCTGACATCACTCACGGCTTTTACCGAGTGAAGGCCATTGCCAGGTTCACTGTGAACGTATCATCGAAAATGTTCTATTTTGGGTGTCAGCCTTACGTTTTGCTTTCTCCTGTTTTCCCTGTCAAATTTCTTTTAAAATAAATTATATTGTAACACGTGTACTTTCTGTATATAAACAAATCATATTTGGAATAAAGGGAAGTACATATAGATAAAAAAGAGTAAACCAATGAATACATGCTAATTTATAGATGGAAAAAGTATTTGTCAGAAATTCAAAGAGTATTTGTTTTTCATAGAGTTGTTGGATCAACACTGCCCAATAGAGACAGAATATGAACCACACTATACAAATTAAACTTTTCCAATAACCACCTGAAAAAACTGTAAGGTAAAACTCATTTCTGTAATATATTTTACTTAACCCAAAATATTCAAAATATTATTTCAACATGTAATCAGTATAAATTAATAAGACAGTTACCATTCTTTTTTTCACCTGTCTTTGAAATCTAGCACCCATTTCCCCCAACGACACATCTCCACGGACACGCGCCACATCTCCGGTGCTCAGTGGCCCCGGGTGACTGCAGGCCGAGCACCAGAGAGTGCAGATGGAGATGCACGCGGGTCAGGGACCAGGCTCTCTGGGTCTCCCTCACTCATTTTTTGGTAGGAAACTAAGGTCCAAGGAATTCTGAGACTTACCTATGGCAAAGTCGGGGTGAGTACTTGGGTCCCAGCTCAGGGTTTTTGCCACTGTTCAGGTAAGTGAAGATTCGCTTCCCTAGAGAAGCGCCAGTGCCCTGCCCTGTCAGGTGCCCACAGTGGCCCTCGGCCCTGATCCGCCCTGATCCGAGACCCCCAGATCTGCTGCAGGGCCTCTGCTGCAGGGTCCGAGCTGCAAGCTCCGCCCAGAGCTGCAAAGCTGACAGTGCGCCGACCTCAGTGGCCGCCACTCTAGAACTGCAGCTGGCGTTCAATTTTACTCTTTGGTGTGTCCTTGAGGGGACGAAGAAGCTCGAACAACTAAATGTCTCCTGCTTTTGTTCTCTGCTCTGTTAGCTATTTAAGTCAGAATGTTCACTGAGCACATATCTGAAAAGGATAAAAGCAGACAATTTTCTCTGTAGGGTTCGTTTGTTTATTATTTTAACGTCATCTGTTTCATGTTGGTCATATATTTGAGACATTATATTGCCACAAGGAATACAATGAGGTAAATTCTTTACTCTTTGGGAAGAAAAAAACTAAAACCAAGACCAAATTTAGCAAATGTGTCACCTTTTTAATGTCAAATTGCCTCACATTATAATGGAATGATTTCATCAGATTTTTACAACCTTGTAACAACCGGAAGAAATGCCCAGGAGATAAGATTACAGGCTCAGTCTGTGGATTAGGCTGTACTTTTTGGGGGAAAGCCTCACAGGGTGGTGAATTTATTGCCAGTTTTTCACAGCAGCAGTGGGGCCTTGCGGCTACTGGTCCCTTCAGCCACCTGCCTGTGGCGACCCTGTGAAACCGGCTCAGGGGCACCACGCTGCCACCTGCCAGCAGCTGCTCTACCTGGACTACGTTTCCCCAAGTCCTGGACCCGTGATCAATCTGCACGGAAAAACAAAGGCTGCCACAGATTTGGTTAGCGTTAACCAAATTACTATGAGTGCTCAAAAATTTTTTTAAAACAGAAAAGTCTCTATTCTTCCCTATTCTAGTATTTCTAAATTTTCCAGTAACCACCTGAAAATTTTCCAGCGAGAAGCCTGGCGGGTTCAAAAGCTGGCATTGGCTACCAGGAGGCGCCGTGCGCAGAGGACGGCCAGCGGCCGACCACCCCGATGCTGCCCAGAGCCAGGTGAGCACTCACCAACACAATCGAGATCTGCCTGATTTTCATCTGGAATTTATACAGGGCAGTCATACTCTCTGGCTACTCTGAAGACACTCAGTCAAATGTCCTCACGCCTGTTGAACACCTGTGTTCGCGTCCCTTTTAGCCTTGAAGGTTAGAAGGTCTCAGAGGCCCAGGGGTGGAAGGAAGGACGAGGTCCCTTCAGGGGCTTGCGAGTTTCCTCCCACTGTCCATCCAGGCATCTCCCTCTCCTCAAAGTTTCATTATTGGTTTCTTTTCTTCCGCTTATATATTTGACAGTTTTCTATTCTTAACTTTAAGGCATAAAAGTAAAACTGCTTTATATTTTTCACCCCAAAACCACACAAAGTTAAATCTCTTTTGAGTTGCATTATGGTCTTTTTTTTTTCTGTGATCGCTGCCCTCAATACACCCAGAACTTTCCATCCTTGCTTGACTGTACAGCATAATGAAAACCCACACTAACAAAAATAATTAATTTGGGATTCTCTCTTTTCACCCCCCACCCCATTCTTCTGTAATCCCAGGGAGAAGGTATAATTTCTCACCGTGTGGTGTGCCAGAAAAGAGAAAAAGGAGACAGAAAACAGCAGGGGACAACCTATGAAAGGGACGAGCGGTCCCCAGATAATTTTACAGTCTTCTATGCTCAGTGTTTTGTCTGCATCTTCCTTAGTCTTTGCTTTGGAGATGATTCCCAAATTTTATAAAGAAACAGAGACAAGTCAGACAGAGACAGACATATACTTACATGTGACACCTAAAGAGCAAAATAAAAGAATACACATAATAGAAACAGACTCCCAGATACAGAGAACGGACTGTTAGTTGTCAGAAGGAGGGCTGGGGGTGCTGAGTTGCAAAGATAAATGGATTCAGAAGTAAAAATTGGGAGTTACAGAAGAGTCACCGGGATGTAAAGTACAGCACAGGGAATACAGTCAACATTATTGTAGTGACTATGTGTAGTGCCAGGCAGGTACTTGAAATATCAGGGGACCACTTTGTGAAGTAAATGATTGTCTAGCCACTATGCTGTACACTTGGAACTGATGCAAAATAATACTCAGTATAAACTACAATTGAAAAAAAAATTAAAAACCATTAAATGCATAGGAGCCTGCAGATGTCATAGAGTGTTAGGCATCTAGACAGGAGGCACCAGCCCCGGCTAACTGTCATTAACTGGCTGTTGCATAGTCCTGGGGTAGTCAATTACATTATATAAAGGTGAAGTTTTTCATCAGTACAGTATGGTATTACTATTAGTCCTCCTGATCGTATTGTAAGGAGCAAATGAAACGATAAATCTAAAACTCCACAACCTACAAACTGTTGTCTTTATTACTATTTTTGAATACCTCTTATGTTCCCGGCAGCAATTTAAATGCTCCACACGAAAACTCATTTAACCCTTACGCTAGCGTCTAAAGTAGACACCGTCATTGCCCTCATTTCACACACGAGAAAATGCAGACAGAGGTGAAATAACTGGTCCAAGAATGGAGACCAGACCCAGGGGGTCAAGCTTTGGAGCTCTGTGCTTCACTGTCTCCCTACACAAACCTAAGTTTAAATGAAGTCATCTCAGAACAAAGTTGGGAAAAGTTGGCAACACACTGTACCGAGCCCACTTCCCTGAAGGACAATCTTTACTGAACAGCAAGCACAGGCGATAAGGCCTACAAACTAACAGTTGAGTCCAGCAGGAGGTGGTAGTCCTTCTCACATGCGTGTGGACTGAACAGTCTTGAAAATCAATGGGTCCTTAATATCAGAGATACAATTATGCTGTACTTAGCTGATATTTGGTAACACTGTTCATGAGATCATAATTCTGCAGTGAAGCCAACAGATACGCCCAGGGCCAGGGGTAGGCTTTAATTGGAGGAAGCCAAACAGAGATTGTGAAATTTTTCTTTCATCTCACCTCTAGGTATATCAAAGATACTGACCCCTGGTTTTGGTTAACAATGGACGGGGGCCAGAAAGTTCAGATACAGAGACAACTCTGTGTTCTTAATCACTCACCCATACCTGCTACCTGGAGAAAACCTGCTGGCCTCCTTTTCTTTCCATTTCTTTCCCTTGCTGGAGTTCCTTCTCAAGGGCGCCCTAGAAGGACAGCACATGGTCAGAAGGGGAAGGCTGACATTTTCTCCTTTAATCCTTTCACAGAGGGCTTTACATTTTATGTTCTAAGGTGCTTACCCCAGATCCACAAACTTCCGCTTAATCTTTCCTCCTTGCACCACCAATGAACTGGGTGCCCTCAGTGATTTGGGGCCTTTGGCACTGTCTGGAACACACATGTAAGTAAAAAAAAAAGACCGACTATTATTATTTTTAAAGCTATGAGTCAAAAGTCAGCGCCTGGTCTCTGAAGGGTTTTGTCTCAATTACTAACTGTAAAAGGAACTGATGGATGCTTTTTTTTTTAAGCTATAGGAAACAGACCTATGTGGAGAAATATTCGGTTAAGCCAGGAGATGTCCCGTTGGATGGAGGCCTGATATGCATCACAGAGTTGCTGGCTTCAAATATGTATTGGAATGAACAAAATAAGAAGAATAAACACTATCATATCACTCTTTACATCAAAAGCAGGAGCCAACATGACTTTCCTTTTGTTCCTGCGTCTTCTGATAGGAACCCAGTCACCCCGAGAGTCTAAGAGGTTTGGGAGAGAGTGCAAGTCAGAGCTTTCCCTTCTGGGCTCTCCCTTGCTAAGGGCCTGCCTGTGGCTGGTCCTGGGACAAAGGAGGGCAGAACATGGGGAAGACTTTTTAAGCAGGAGCTCAGCTCTAAGACACTGATATCTTTGAAAGGTCTCTTTAAAGTTGGGTTGGAGCATGACTTGGCCAGTCTCCCATGATACTGAAGGTGCCAAACACTCTTCAGTGTTTGGAGCTGAGTGATCTTTGCCTCTTTGAGTTTTTCCGGTTTTCTGAATGGCAGCAGCTGCTGGAAATGGGGACACTCAAACTAATGCCAAAACCCAATCTGTGGAGAGGCTTTTCGAATGAAGATCAATGTCAAATGTAGGAACTATATTCTACTGCTGCGACTTATTCCACTTTGGACTAGGCAGATAACTCCTAAGGCTCTACCTGGAACTATTCAGCAAAGGATGCTGTTTGGTATTATCTGGCAGTATATCCAGTTAGATGTGAGATGATTAGCAAAGGATGTTTAATTTTGATGCATATTAGATCGTGAAATTACTCCTTCCTAATTATCTATTGGTGTCTATCTCTATCTCTTTAAATTTAAAAGCACACTCCAGCAACTTCCTGGTGTGGACTACAGAGAGAGCAGTTGTTTTCTTAAGAAAGTGTTCAATTAATCATGCAGGTTCATTTTACTTACAATAGTATTTATTTCAGGAGAAATTTCTTAACACACATACTTACAAAACATGAAGCACACACACAGTTCTCATTTAGGAGTCTATATCTGAAGTTCTAAAGAAGCAAAGGATATTGACAAACACTGAGGATTTTTTTAAATGAGCTTTGCATATTTTTAGTTAGTGATACTTAGATTACAGTAATTCCTTGAAATGCCCTGGCCAATGTGGCTCAGTGGGTTGGGAGTTGTCCCACAAAGTGAAAGGTCACGTGTTTGATTCTCAGTCAGGGCACGTGCCTGGGTTGCCGGTTTGGTCCCTAATTCGGGTGTGTACCAGAGGCGACTGACAATATTTCTCTCTCACATCGGTGTTCCTCTCCATTTCTCCCTCCCTCCCTTCCCCTCTCTCTAAAATCAACGGGCATGTCCTCAGGTGAGAATAAAAATAATAATAAAATAAAATAAAACAGAACACAAGAGTCCGAAATACATCCACATCAAAATTCACTTCTAACCTCAAATATTTATCATGAGTATTTGTGTCATTACTCTTCAGGGAACTGAATTCAGTAGCCACAGCTGTTACACAGACACATAAAGAAAATCCAAAGACATGGCACAAATACCTGCTGAGGTGATTTTGCTAAGGGACATTTTTTAAAAAAAGCAGAATTTCAGTTATGTTAAGAGAAGCCAAAGAAAAGCAAGTGCTGGATTCTTCCAGATCAATCCTAAAGCAACTCTTAATGGCTAGGCCTGTGCAAAGTTACAAAGAGGACGGCCTAATTATTTTCTGAATGAGCGGTAGCTGGGCGATGTTTAAATGAGGGATGAGAGGGCCAGGTGAGAACATGCGCATAGAACTGCAGCCTCTCAGTGTTGCAGTCACTGGACATCTTGGGACTAAAAGCCTGGTCTGCCCAGCGCAGAGCCCGCTGCTGGGCAACCTCACATCGTTATCTCACACATTTGCCAAAGTGTGTTCCAAGGAACACTTACATGAATGCTTTCAAAAGGCTGAACTCAGAGGCAGGATTAAGTAATAATGCACTTTCTCATTCTAAGTCCATCAAGCACACATTCATGGACATCTGAACTTCCAGTCTTCGGAAAAACCAACACTGGATTGTTATGATTTCAGAAAAGAAAATGTGACATTTTTGTTAGTTTATGTAGCTTTATGTAAAAATTCTAGTAGGCTTTTTGAAATCTCTCAAACACTACCTTTGTGAGAAATCAGAAGTCTGCTGACCTGGTCCTCATTTTCTTTTCCTTCTTTTTTTTTTGTTTTAATCCTCACCCAAAGATATATTTATTAAGTTTTTAGATAGAGGAAGGAAGGGAGAAAGGGGGTGGGGGGAGAGAGAGAGAGAGAGACAGACATCAATGTGAGAGAGAAACATCCATCGGTTGCCTCCTGCACATCCCCCGACTGGGGATCAAACCTGCCACCCAGGTATGTGCGCTGACTAGTAGTCGAACTCGGCCTTTTTAGTGTATGGGCGGGGCTCCAACTAACTTGTCAGAAATTTCAACTTAGAGAAATTTCCTAGCGTGGAGTGTTAGGTAAGAATGCAAAGATGAGGTCTAGTCTGTATTTATGAGAATCGCTAAACCCCATTCTGGTTTATTCATTGATGAGCCAATGAGTTCTAAGAACCACACGTGTAAACACTTACACACGGAAGGAAATCAGGTTAACATACTTTACCTCGAAGCTGCCTAGGTCTGCATAGTGAATTAGTCTCAGACAGCAAGGAACTCAAGGATTTTACAGAATGCTATTCTCCGAATTAGATTTTGAAGACAATGAAGCTAGATCCTACTTTGTGAATCTATACTGTATAATCCCCTGACATGTCAAACAATCGGAAGCGTGGAATTTCCCCAGTGTTTCAATGATGCTGAGTTCCACTTTGGGAACCGGGGAGGGAGCGTCTCTGAGGGACACGAAAGAGCTATCCCGATGGTGGTGCTTCAGTGCCGTCATCGGTCAGCTCAGTCTCATGAGCACACTCCATATACATGTCCGGTGAACCTTCATTGTGAGCTTGCTGATTTCCAAATAGAAAAACCAGGAAAGAACAAAACATATGAATGATGGTGGTGGTTATGTTGGCTGTAGCTCACAAAGTAAATCAGAAAATTAGTATTCCGGTTTATAAATTTGTTTTTTCTAGGTTTGAACATCATGAATCGGTCCCTCTGAACTTGACTAAATCTGGGTACATTACTGAATTTCTGGCCTCAGAGTACTAAGGTCTAAACTCCCGGCTCTCGGCACTGACTGGTAATAGGCTACTTTTCGAGAGTCAGTTGGCTCCTCAACATCTTTCAGTTCAAGGTGCAATGGAGTCTGAAAGTGGAGGGTAAGCAGTATAGGCCTTCCTTGGTGGTGGTGGTGGTGGTTATTGTGGGGCGTCAGAGAGACAAGATGTATATCATAAAACAAGCAATAAAGGAAAGAGAGAGACAGGCACTGACTCTAGTCTGCGAAGGCCTTGAGGAAAAGCATGGGATCTTATAAATGTATATTCAGCCTTTAACACAATTCTTGACACAGTGTAGGTGCTCAGTAACTTTGTTGAATGAATATATAAATGAATAGATTGATGTCCATGAACATAGAAAGCACAGAAAACTCAAGGTTGGAAACCTCTTTCAGGAGAAGAAAAGATCGTGAGGCACTGCTTTCATCTGGTCACAGTTAAAAACCAGCAAACATACTAATAACTGACTAAAAAGTCAGTACTTTTTAAATTTAAATGTTTATTTCTTGATTTTAGAGAGACAGAGAGAGAGGAAGGGGGAGAGAGAGATACAGACATTGATTTGCTGTTCTACTCATTTATGCATTCACTGGTTGATTCATGTATGTGCCCTGACTGGGGATCAAACCTGCAACTGTGATGTATCTGGATGACACTCTAACCAACTGAGCTAGGTGACCAGGGCTCAAGTCAGCACTTGATAAAAGCTCAACTAACTGCTTATTCCTGGTTAGCCAGAAATACAGTCTGCCCAGAAAAATAAAAAATGGGAAGGTTCAAGTACTTGGTCTTCAGAAAAGAAACTCCTCACTCTCTACTCTCTTGGTCCTGCTTATAGTACAGCTGGGAACTTCATCCCAAAGAAGCAGCAGTAGCAAACAAGAGAGGTGCTGGGAAAAAGGATGGATGTCCCTGCTAATTATTGCTAATCACATTTTACTGCACGATACAGCTAATGGACTGTGAAGCACAATTCACATCCAGGTAATACTTCTCCAACCTGAGAAGAAATGTCTGCTCACTTCAAAGATCCATAAATACATTAGAAGTAAAAGGCAGAGAGAAATTATCTAGACAAGATTTAGCCACTTTTAAAAGTATCTGGGCCAGATTTCATGTGTGAGTGATGCTGTCTCTGACTATATATAATTTCTTTCAAAGACCTACTTATGCCCAGTGAACTCGGAGAACCACAAAGTATTAACCTATAGCTCCAAATACATATATACTTCTGCTTTTTTGCCTTCTTATGGGTCCAAGTAAGGTCTACACATATTTTTTCTTCTGAAGGGATGATACAGGGCTTGACACAGTATATATTTAGAAAAAGTATGATTATAATCCACAATTTAGGTTAATTAATGAGAGTTTTTGAAGCCTTTCATTCTTTTGGAGGTAGGCCAACATCATAGTGCAAGTCCTTCATCAACTTGACAATCACTATTGACAAATTAGTGGGCTTGGACATGTTTGCTCTTGCTTCCACTAGTATATTGTCCTCCCTGGGAATACCGGTACCTTTGTCCTCATCCTGAATTTGTTGCGGACCTCGTGACAAATACTGAAACTGACAAGTGCCCAGTGATGCGTTTTCTCTCGTGGGGCGGCGGCGTGACTCAGACAAGTTCTAGTGAGTATGAAAAGTCCCAAGCAAGCGCTGGGTGCCCAAACATTTTTT